AGATGATTTCATTTATTCACATACAGACATGACCAGCACTAAGAAAGTGAAAAACATACACAGTTCGATAATTTGAAAGGCACAATACCACTGTAACCGACCGCGAAATATAAACAAATGGAGAACAACGCTCTTTCGGGAGAATACTTGACACTTTCATTCTTTAACGCGTACCATATGATAATAGTGTGTAAAGACAAGAAATTGCAACAATATTCATAGACTAAAGGTGAAGGATGTAAGAAAAAGTTTGCGCTCTAATTCAGACTTTGTGTTAAAAGTACACCAGAAAATGACGCCAAAAATGGGGATAGTGTTGATGATGGTGGCGATTTTAAATACGATTAGATAATTAGAAAAATCTCTTCGCTCGGCCGGTCTACACACCTTCGTAAGCTTTCCGAACTATATCTTGGTCAGAAGTACGACTACCTTGTCGTATCAACTCGGAAACGTCCTCACATTGTGCTGAAGGGTACCAAATACAACTGACTCAGTGAAAGGAACGTGAAAAGACCAGGGAATAAAATCTATGATGGAAAGACTTACGTGAAAGCCAGAGTTTTGCGGTCGATGAAAAAGACGCCGTTCAGAGTTGTAGTAGAGTTCACACCTTGACGTGAAATTTTCGATCCCGTTTAGGAGAGTGTGCAATACTGAGTTTTGAATAGTTCTTAAATGGAAAGGCGGTAGAAGGGTGAAGCAAAAAGAAAAAAAAACTGTTTTAAATTAAAACCGATGACATCAGACTCGATCTCATTCTCTGCTTGGTGGTTTAGCTAAATAAGTAGTTAATGACGGCTGGTAATTTCCGAGCGAGAGCGAGTCAAATGAAGAGTTGTTTTCAGACTATTGTCAAAGGCTTAGCGCATTCAAACCAAATGGCTAAAAACAAAACTTAACTAGTGATGAGTGACAAACTGATCCTCACAGGATTTAAGCAATTGTAGAGAGTAATGCCCTGGGAAAGGAAAATATGAACTGCGGTAAGTGACAAACCGAACCTCTTGCCTAGCCTTCAATGAAGACAACATTGTCCTCTTTTATCACAGAATTTTACTTCTTTGGCTCTACTTTCTGGAAATATTTTCTTCCGTGATCAATTCATAGTTAATTTCTAATTTGTTACATTGATAGTTGTATAGTTGGTACAAAAGGTTGCATTTCTCATGTAACACGTCTGTAAGTTTGTAACACAAGGTTAAAATTACAAATGGGCTTTGATTGGCTTAAAAACAAGAGAAATCAACAAAAACAAATAAAAGAAAAGCTTCTTTTGCAGAAGTCAGAAATACGATGTGAGAAAATAACGGCCGATGCGTTTGCACACAATGAGTTGGGTTTGCACGTACCTCGTCACAGTTAAGAGAGTTTCTTCCTTGCTGAATTTGTGGAAACGTGGTTTGAAGCCGCGAAAAGTAATGACAACGGAATCGTGGGAAAAAAAGCCAGCGAATGAAACAAATCACTTGAAAGTTTCTAAAACCAAAAATGATTAAAAATACGAGTTAATTAGCCTAAGAGGGATGATAGCTACACTCGACAGGTAATTAGATGTACAAGTCAGAATACAAGTGGTCCATAACAAAAGCAGACTTCCGCATGAAGCGCCAATTTTTACTGAAGAGGAAGAGGAGGTGCT